TTATTATTTTGTATAAATTTTTTTACTTACGAATGTTAGTAATTTTATTGTTTATACAGTTTTTATAAATAAAATATGCTGATAGTTGTATTTCAACGCAAACTACACAACACTAACGCAAGTACAATATTTTTAAAATTCACTTTGGGTGGCAAAACTGGACATTACAAAAACACAACAAGGCAGAATTTTCACATAGAATATACAAAAACAAAACTTGAAAATGAACTACCACTAAATAGTCACTAAAAATTCAAGCCGTGAAACTTACTTGTTTATTTTGTGCATATACATATATAAAATATATATTTTGAACACTTTATTAAAATATGCAAAAATACGTTGAATTTACGGCAACACAATTAGAAAAATTCAGTTAACGCGCAGTTTTAATAACACGGCTGCTAACGGCACACACAAAATGACAGCAGCCTTCAATTGTGTAGGGTTTACACTGTGCGAAAATTTAAATGTTTAGATGTGGATAAAATTGCATTTTAACTTTTTAATAAATTTAATATTTTTTTAAATATAGAATAAAATTATTTAAAATAAATATTTAAATTATTCAAAATATAAAATAATATTTTTATAATAAAATTTAATATTTTTAAAATAAAATTTAAAATTTCTTTAACAAAATTCAAAATTACTTGCCGTAAATGAAACAAAGAAATTAATTGTCTACAAAAGTAAACTAAAACATTAAAATTAAACGGGTTCACATATCTTCGAAATGTCGTTTTCCCTTTCGTTCTCTTTATAAACAACATGGAAACATATAAAATGTAAATGTAAAAATAATGTAAAATTAAAAAAATATATATTGTGCATTTAAATTTAAGTTTATTTAAAGTAAAAAAATCTTATTGGTAATCGAATTAGTAGCGTTCTATTTTTAATTAATGTCTAGTTTAATTTTTTTTCAAGTGTTGCAACAAAAATAAAAATCTAAAAAAAAATAAGTGAAACAAAAATTCAATTTAGAAATAGTAGCAACAAAAATATCAAACATTAAATGCGTAAAGCAAAAATTAAAATTAATAGTAAAAGAATTATATATGTAAAATAAAGTTATATTTACAAAAATTAAAAAATAAAAAACGTTTAGTTTGAAAATGATTGCTGGGGAGACAGCAAGTGAGCAGAATCACTTTTATAAACGATATAACTTGTTTAGATTGCCTTAGATTTTTACGTGTCTAATTACATGCATAGTTTACATATATATAAATAGCGCTATGTGGATGTTTGTTTTTACATATATACATACATATATACATATATATAAATATTTACTATTTTTATAATTAATATATAATGTAATTTTATGATTTTAATATGATTGATTTGTTTACACAACTATCTTTTTCGTTATTTTATATTTACATATGTATAACGTACATGCATACATGCTTAAATACAAAAACAATATATATATATACACATATATATACGACATAAAATACGTATACATATGTTACATTGATACTTTATAATTTTAATTGTTTAATTATACAAATACCAAGATATAATACAAATACACAGACACATGGATACATATTATATTAATAAATAAAAACTTTAGTTAAAACAGAGGAAAAAAAACAAAATAAACAACAATTTGTGTACTACTCATTTTCGTAACATATAAATAACCGCGAGGTGGTAATGCTTTTATTGTTTTTTTTTTTTGTTTTTGTTTGTTTTTGTAGTTCATTTCTCAAATATTCTTGAATGCTTTTAAAATGCTTTTATTTTGCACACATATGTAATAAAGACGACAGTTTTCGGCTGCAGAATAGCAATGGAATATAGTAAAGAATAAAGCACACACACGCATGCAAATAAGCAGAAAATAAGCGAAAAACCAAAATCACAACAAGCAATAACCAATTACAATTATAACAATTAAAGAAAAATTACAATAAACAAGCAATTCAAATACAATGCAATAGACCAAAGTGAATACTGGTCGTGTGAGGATTAAGCATGGTGAGAATTAAAAGTGTGTTAAAGGAGTTGGCTAACATTATGCTGTTTGAGATAACGGTGTATATAAAGTAATCGGTGCGCAAAGTATTTGGTACGCAAAGTAATCGGTAGCAAAGTAATAGGTGTACAAAGTAATCGGCATGCAAAGTAATCAATATAGAAGGTAATCGGTATGCAGAGTAACCGGTACAAAAAGTTATCGGTATATAAAGTATTTAGGATGTAATGTATTCGGTACGCAAAGTAACTCATATTAATGGGTACGAAAAGTAACCGCTACAAAAAAACCGATACGAATAATTGGTGCTAAGAAAAAGACAAACAACTCGATCGATAAATCTTTGAGAAAGTAAATTGCTATAACAGTCCTTCTCAAACCGAGTTAAAAGTTAGTCGTAACAACTCCGAGTGTAAGGCACATTTTTGAAGACCCGCCATGCGACAGATCCCAACATTACCATTGTTTGCTCCATTTTCACATTGAACTATTGGCAGAAATACAAAATAATAACAATTACAAAGCAATAGTAACGGTTAAATGTCAGAACAACTATTTCGGTGAACTATTAAAGCGAACTACAAGAAGTATTTATTTGGTTTTTTTTCGAAGTTTGAGCAACGCTTACTTTCTACTGGTGATTTCTTTAGAAAAATATCATATTCTGTATTTTATATTGTTTTAGAATATTAGACTAAGCACACAGTTAGCCATTTGGATAGATTGTGCGCCAGAAACCCACTTACAAAATGCGATAAAATTTTATAGATCAGTGAGTAACCGGTATTCAATGCTGACTGCGCAACAGCCATCACTAACAATAAGTAAAGGAAATTCTTATCTAAACAACAACAACTTCAGGGATCAAAATTTCAAATATTTTGATTTATTTAGGCCGAAACAACAAGCTTAAGAAGTAAACCAAAACCAAACAAAAAACTAAGAATAAATTAAAGCAAAAAACATATACATATATACTGAAAACTAGAGAGACACATGACCATATCCGAAATTTTTTTTACAAAATGTGTGAAAATCCAATAAAAAAAACGGTAAATAAACACCATAACTAAATAATGTGGGGAATTATGGCGTAAAATGGTGGGCACTATGTTATTATATATACATATATATAACGGTACTTTAAGTACTCGTTCAACTTGTTCGGCGGCTAGACGGGGGTGGGCACGCCTTCAAATAGCGCACAGAGATGTAACATATATTAACAAAAGCTGTAACCTAACAATCTTTAAGGAAATGAAATCAACTATTTTGTAAATAAAAAAGTGAACATTTTTGGTAAAAAAGAAATTTCAAGTGGTGAAAGTAAAATCAAAACAAACAAACAAAGAAAAATAAACTAGCAAAAGAGAAACCGACTTTTTGCGTTTCTTTAGGAAATTTAAGCGTGAAACTTGTTTCAAAACTTTGTATGTAATTTTTTGACAAAATGCTAAAAGCACCTAAATAAATTAAGATTAAATAAGTGGAGCATAATGATGTATACGATAACTAAGTAACTAGTTTAGGCGAACAAAAAATTTAATACAAGTATAGAAATAGCTTTGGAAACTGCTTACTGAATATTGTGAAAATATGCGGAAACAAGTTTGGTTATTTTTGATTAAAAAAAATTATTTAAAGAAAAAAATTTAATTTTTTGAAAAAAATGCAAAAAAACGTTTCGAAAAGAAAAAGTAGTTTGAAAAATATGTTTGAAATTCTTCTTTAGTTGAAAAAATATTTAGTCGAAAAAAAATGTTTTGAATTAAAAAAAAAAATATATGGATGCGAAAAATATTTATTTTGGAAAAAACATTTCCAAAAAATTTGTTTTGAGAGAAAATTGTTTTGAAAAATTGAATTACTCAAACAACATTTTTTCTTTCAATTTCGAAAGTAATGGATTTGAAAAACATTTGTTTTGAAAAATTTTTGGAAAAGAAAATTGTTTAAATAAAATTTTTGAAAAATTTAAAAAAAAATTAGAAAAAAATTAATTAAATAGAGCAACCTGAAACACATTACAGACAAGTGTACACAAATTGACTGCATCTCAAGTGGGTTTACTAAAAGCAAAATTGAAAATAATAAAATTAATTTATCTTTACTAATTTTCCAGAAGCCTGGCAACCCTTAACGCTAATTGCAAAAATTCAAAAATCAGCAAAAACATTATTATAATATTTATCGAAAAATTACATGAAAATCGAAATTAATAATACCGTTATATTTATAATTTATATGCAAAGACAACGGTACACGATTTTCTGTTCATTCCTCTTCAGTTTCAGCTAATTTGTTTATTTTTATTGAGACTAAGAAAATTACTGATAAACTTTTGCTGAATATTTAAAATCAAGAAAACAAGATTTAAAATCAAAACAAAATTGTGTATAAAGTAACAAGAGGCAAGAAAACACCTAAACCTTAACGCTGGGCATGACAAATATTGTAAAATATGAATTAATACAAGAAATATTGAACAAATGCGTATGGGATGCGTGACGGATGTAAATGCAAGTGAAACAACAAATAAAACAAAAATAGCAACAACAAGGAGAACAAAACAGATTTACTTACCTATTGTAATAATGTGAACTTGGAGCATACTCAGTATTTTATTAATACTGTAATGATAAATTTAT